GGTATCTCTCTCTGCTTTCTGGTGTTCTGTTATTCCGGAAGTTCCTCCACGCCTTTTTGTTCAGTTTCTTCGCTTCCATACATGCCCTATTATACCATGGATTCTTCTGTTGCTTCTCGGATTTTTCCCTTTGGGCCGGGATGAACCTGCTTACTGCCTCCTGACACTTTTGGGTAACATAGTCCATCATACCCTGTACAGACCTGTCTCTGAGGTCTGTGTCCCAAGGTATTTCACTTAGGAAACTTCTCATCTGTTTCTAATTCCCCTTTCGGTATGCCAGCCTTTTGATTCCTAGTTCTTTTTTGGGGGAGATAAGTCCTAGCTCTACCAGGTACTCAAAGTTCAATACACTGTGGTCACTCATTCCCAAGGGCGCTTCCATCTTAACTTCCCTTATATCCCACTCATTTAGGGTAAATATCAAATCGAGCATTGCTGGTTCATCTTCTCCTCTCATTCTTGTTGGTTCTTGTTGTGTGTGTGTGTGTGTGTGTGTGTGTGTGTGTGTGTGTGTGTGTGTGTGTGTGTGTGTGTGTGTGTGTGTGTGTGTGATATTGAAAAATAATAGTAGTAGTAGTAATTAGAAACAGTTGAGTGAGAGTTGAGACGCGAGCCGAAAGAGCAGAATTCAATCCCCGCAAGCACAACAAGGTGAATACAACTAGGTGAATACACACACACACACAGCTTAACCTGAACATTATTTTTTACTTAAAAAAAGTTCCTAAAACGTTGTGATTAAGTTGAATGTTTGACGTTGTTGGTTATGTTGTATGTTTGACGTCGAGGCTATGTTGTATGTTTGACGTCGAGGCTATGTTGTATGTTGACTGGCGTGGCGAGAAGACAGAAAGAAGAGTTTTCTGATAAGTTACTGACACAAGTTGTGATGTTGATATTCACTCTTTTAATTTGCCACTCAGTAAAAAAAAATGAACCGGTTTCGCAGAACCAAAAACGAACAAACCCCAAGCAACCCACCTAACCCATCGTGGCCAATGCACTGAGAACGTCGACACTACTGCGCTTTGTTTTCGTTAATGCATCACGGGAAAGGATGCGACGAATCCTTAAAAAAATCCGACTTATTAGTTGAGAGAACGGAAACTCGACCTGCCTTGGGGGCTGAACGTGGAGTGACCGAGCAGTCACCGTGTCGTGTTCTCCTGGTCGTTTTGGGGTCGTGTTCTTGTGAACGTTGTGTAGTCGTGTTCTCCTCGTCGTTTTAGGGTCGTGTTCTTGTGAACGTTGTGTAGTCGTGTTCTCCTGCCTTATTTAATCTCCCTATTTCCATGCAGTCGGAATAATAACTACTGCATGGAAATAGTAACTACAGTAACTACTGCCTACAGACTTACTGTAGGCAGTAGTTACTGTAGGCAATAGTCACTGTAGCCAGCAGCGCTACTGTGTATCCTAGTGAGGTTTGAGGTTCACTAAATATTGGTTGCACAAACTTCAGAGATTTTCTTGCATTGAGCGAGTGTACAGATCAGGTGTACCGGGAAGGTGTACTGGACAGGTGTATCGGGCAGGTGTACTGGACAAGTGTACCGGGGTGGGAGTACCGGGCAAGTGTACTGGACAGGTGTACCGGGGTGCGAGTACCGAGCCGGTGGGAAGGGCAGGAGTCGTCACCGTTACTTTCCCTCTTAATCAACAACTGGAGCGGAGCTTCGTTACCACCTGTTCCATCCCCCCCCCCCCGCCGGTCCAAGGTATACCCAGCCTTCCTACCCTCTGTCCTGGCTGTGGTTAGGCCGTCCAGCCTATCCACCCGCTCTTGTATACAAATAAGATACAAATAAGGGCAAGTATAGGCCCCTAAGAACCACTTGAGAAAGATTAATAAGGGTCTTATACCTATCTTACATAATTGGAGTTAAGTAAGAGTGGGAAACTGTTTTAAGTGGAGTGCCTCAAGGCTCTGTTCTTGGATATATGTTGCTTACAATATTTATAAACGATTTATAAATGAATTATATAAATGAATTAGATAAATGACTGAGCAGCAATATTTGCAAATTTGCAGATAATACAAAAATAAGGCAAGAACTATATTCAGATAGGCTCTCTAAATAAACGAAAGAACGACAGATGCAGTTTAATGCTTACAAATGCAGGGTTTCGAATCTAGGTAATGATAACAAAGTTACCAGATACAAGCTGGTCAATACTGAAAAGGCCAAATTTGAATGTAAAAAATATCTGAGAATTATATCGTTAGTATCGACGCGTACCTGAGTCCAGGGCATTGCCAGCCGCGTACTCTACCACTGGACCATTGAAGACTTGTCAAGTCATACAACCGGATTCCTATTGAAATTACAGGAAGTCTGGAGGCCGCTACTGAAGCCAGTCCATGTGTTCACGTCTATATATATATATATATATATATATATATATATATATATATATATATATATATATATATATATATATATATATATATATATATATATATATATGTCGTACCTAGTAGCCAGAACAAACTTCTCGGCCTACTATGCAAGGCCCGATTTGCCTAATAAGCCAAGATTTCCTGAATTAATATATTTTCTCTAATTTTTTTCCTATGAAATGATAAAGCTACCCATTTCATTATGTATGAGGTCAATTTTTTGTAATTGGAGATAAAATTAACGTAAATATATGACCGAACCTAACCAACCCTACCTAACCTAACCTATCTTTGTAAGTTAGGTTAGGTTAGGTAGCCGAAAAAGTTAGGTTAGGTTTGGTTAGGTAGTCGAAAAACAATTAATTCATGAAAACTCGGCTTATTAGGCAAATCGGGCCTTGCATAGTAGGCTGAGAAGTGCGTTCTGGCTACTAGGTGCGACATATATATATATATATATATATATATATATATATATATATATATATATATATATATATATATATATATATATATATGACAATGTCAGACCACTGAGGAAAAATGAAACAGGAATTTCCTTAAGTACTTTCGTATATTAAATACATCTTCAGAAGGTCATTTTACAGATCGAGTGATGGGTATAAATAGGCAGGAGAGTGGTGAAGTAAGGTGAGGTACAATACTTGGACAACGCAGACGGCCCATTGGCCCATCAGATGCACCCAATTGGCCCATCCGATGTAGCCCAATGGCCCATCTGATACAGCAGACATACAAGCATAATACATAGGTAATTATAACATAAAGAGTATATACAATAAATTAGTGAGACAAATGTTGACATTGTGACATTGTCACATTCTTAATCACGTGTTTATTTTCGTGATACACACACACATATTATATATATATATATATATATATATATATATATATATATATATATATATATATATATATATATCTGTTATATATACATATATATATACATTATATATGTTATATATACATATCTGTTGCGTCTTGGGCACTAGTCCAACTTCAGAGGAATTCGAAGAAGTGTTTGACTTGCAACAATGATCGAACCCGTCTGTGACATTCATCAATGTTTCCCATTGTTGTGTTTTTCAAGAGATCCATAACCTTTAAGCACCTTTTTGCATTATTATTTTTGTATCAACCCATGTATATCTTTTAACCATCAAATGCATAATAAAGCACAATATATATATATATATATATATATATATATATATATATATATATATATATATATATATATATATATATATGAATAATAACTTCTAATGTTATTATTCAGCTTTATCTGGCTCTTATTCGGCTCCAGTTAAATCTGCAGCTCAATTTTGTCTCTATACTACTGAATGGATATAAATGCATTTGAATATATACAAAATAATGAGAAAGTTAATCCCAGGAATTAGAAACCTTCCTCATGGAAAGAGATTAAGAAAAAATAAATCATATTCTCTTGAAAGACGAAGAGTAAGAGCTAACTTAAATGTACAAATGAATGTAGAGACAAAAGAAAGTGTTAAAATATCAACACAAAGTATCATATGAAAAAAAGGATATGATAAGTTTGGATTGAGGAAAAACCTGGGTAAATACTGGTTTTGAAATAAAGGTTGTTGATTTATGGAGCAAATTACTGGGTGACATAACAGATGTGGGATTGCTGGATTGTTTCAAGCGTAAGTTAGACATATATAAAATGAGGTTGATTTGGGTAGCGTCCTCGCCAAAGGGCTTCGGTAGTCTCTTCTAGTCATTTGTTCTCAATGACGAAGACATTGGTAGCCGATACACCAAACCACACACACACACACACACACACACATTATATCACTAACATATCTAAGAATCTCTGTGGAGATCTGAAAAGCCTACAAGATAAAGCAAGAACCACGTCTCTTTTGCGGGAAAACATTGGATTGGATGGCTAAGAACCTTATTAGCCTCTTTACGATGACTGATTTCCTTGAACCACTGGACTATTGGTGAGAGCCACAGAAATTACTTAAATGGACACGAGATCCCATGGGGTAAATGGAAGATTGGAGAAAGGCTTTAGAATGCATTGGACGACAGGTGAGTTTCTTAGAATGCACTAGATGGAGTATGAGGGGCCCCATTATTAATTGGAGCAGACTGGGTACTCCAAAATGCATTATATAGTTAGTAAGGAACCCCGTGATGAACTGGGCGGAGTGTGAAGCCCCAGAATGTACTGGACTGTGTGGTTGATGTCTCTAGGAGTCACTGAATGGTGGATAATGACCTCAACAGTCACTAGTTGGGGACAGAAGACACAAGACGGATGCTGTGTGCGTTACACCCATACTAAACACATCCGGAAGCAGGAGGTGGATGGGGTGGGTGGGGCAAGACAGTCGTCCATGTGAGCAGGTGGGTGTTGGTGTGAGTTGATGCAGGAGAGAGAGAGGCGCGACGGGTCAGCTGCCCCGCCCACCATACCCAGCATATAAAACCCACCTCATCCTGCCCCACCACCATCAGTTGAGCTTCTCCTGCTAGCAAACCATCATGAAGGTACTTTGCTCCCTAACACTCACACCTCAACTCATATTGGACTTACAACTTACGACACACACATATGACCAAGTGACTCGCTGGCTCTCAGTGCCAAGTTACGGAGAGATCCTCTTTTTTTGACTTGAAAACACAAGGTTTCAACGCAGTGTGCTTCTCTCTAATATTTCAACATGGAGTTCCGGCAAGTATAGAGTTCCCGAAGGTGTAGTGACAGCGGATGACTGACCACTCTGTTTACTGCAGAATGTGACCGGCCGTCGTACTCTGAAAAGACACTAACGTGACTGACGTTAGTGTCTCGTCAGTGAATGTCGCGAGAATCCAAGACGATTATCGAGACGGAAGACGACGGTACGGGTCAGTAGCGTCCGAGTACTCGACCTGACAATGTTGTTCCTCCTGCAGACTGTGGCTTTGGTGCTCTTGGTGGCGGCTTCGGCGGCGTGGGCGGCTCCCCAGGGCGCCTACAACTACCAGGAACCCCAGTATCCTGACGCTCCCGCTCAATACACCTTCCAGTGGGACGTCAAAGACGATTATTCCGGCAACTTCTACGGTCACCAGGAGCACAGGGACGGAGATGACACCAAGGGCAGGTACGTTTTCGGTCACCAAAATATCAGAGATACAGAGCCTTCAGCAACAGAGGGTGGGTGAGTCTACGGTGACCAACACCAGAGGATGGGAGAGTCTACAGTGACCAGGAAAACAGAGGTGGCCAGTTTACGTGAACAATCTCAGCTGGCTCTGAAGAGCTTGAACGAGTATACCCCATCAAGTTGACTAACACATGGAGTTCATGTTTAATGCTACGCATTTGATGATTTTTCGTCATAGAGATCTATTTGTCGTGTTATAACACTTTCGCTTCATAAAAAATAATGATACTTTCCAAAAGAGAGCTTTTTCTCGACCAGCTTTTTTTAAATTATAACTCGGCATGTTCCTCCATCCACAGTTACTACGTCCGGCTTCCGGACACCCGGCTCATGAGAGTGGACTACTACGTCGACGCCTACGGCTTCCATCCCACCGTCACCTTCGAAGGCGAGGCTCAGTACCCTACCGCTCCTAGCCAAGGGTATGGCAAGCCGGCGCCACCTCCTTCGGAGTTCTACGCCCAACCTGGAAAATAGGCGTTCATTCTAGCGCGTTCACATTTACCTACTTTGTGTGTACAGTATTGTTTTTCTTTTACATTGTGTTTTCGCTCTTTCTCTCTCTCTCGATCGTTATATCTCCTGTGTTAAGGGAGAATTTAATATGTTGAGGCCGTGAGAGGTTCCCCGCAGGAGCTTAGCTGATGACGATGCCTAAGAGCTTCTTTTGCTTCTCCTCCTCCTCCTGTAGGAGTCTGTAGGACTCGCCTCCCTCGCCCACATGGTCTCGCTTATTTCAGCTGCTTCATGTTGTGTTCTCCTGCATGTGTTCATCAAGCCGCCTTCGTGTTGTGTTCTGCTTGTGTTCATCAAGCCACCTTCGTGTGAGTAAGCTTGACTGCCTCTCACAGCTGAGCCAGTCTCCACGCCAAGCTTATTATGAGTGCATGAGAAATTAATGTATTTTTTATACCGAGAATTTATGATTATAAAATAAAAATATTTTATAAATTGTGTGTTTAATTTATAGAAATCATTCATTTGCGTGTTTTATAAGCCAACTGTAAGTAGCCGCAGGGTGCAGAGGTGCTCAGTCCCGGTGGATCAGGCTATCAGTCCAGGTGGATCAGGCTATCAGCCCGGGTGGTCAGGCTATCAGTCCCGGTGGACCTGTGACGCTGAGAGGAAGAGCGTGAATAGTTGCTCTTTTCAGAACAGGTGTAGGCTTGACTGACAACTGCAACCTGTGTGTGATGATATTAAGAAGTGTGAAAGCGCTCTGTTAAATAAATTGTGTCCGTGTTTAAGTACTAAATGTAAAATTCTTTTTCCACGTTGTAATTAAGTGTTATAATTATTGAGTCGCTTCTGCAGTGATCTGGATCCAGGATCTTGATTTTAGTTCATGTAAATAAGTCTCTGTTCTTGTTTGACTGTGATAGACTAGTTTCTGGTTTCAAATGTATTTTTGTTATCCGCTTTGATAAAGCTATATTTGGGTGGAGTTCAAAGTATGGGAAGATAACACCGTAACACAGTCTCTACAGTCTTCTCTTTCTGTTGTATTTTAATAACTTTGTTATAAAACTCGCATTAGATTGTCAGACACTACTTTTATAAATCAATGTTGCCCTTTCGCTGCTAGGGTTATCGTCTCCAGGTGCTCCATTGTTCTCAACCTGATTACTTTCTCCAACACTTCACAAGGAACACTTCTTAGTGACACTGGTCTGTAATATAGTAGGCCCCCCATTTTGTCTGTATCCTTTAGTTCATATAATACTGGGACTACGTACGCATTTTTTCAGGAATTTTAGGAGATTCCATCGTCTCGAGTGGTGTTGGCATGGCACTCAGGTGACAAGCTGACCCAGTCTCAAGACCCAGGCAAAGATGGAAGTCTGTGACATCCTGCCTGGTCTTGATGTGTCGCCAAGCTGCTGTGAGAGGCTTCAAGGGAAACACTAACGGAGAAGGTTTGAATCGAACCCCACAATCTTCTCAGTAAATGACGTTTGAAAAATTACAGATTGTTTCAACCCAAAACTGGTTGATTGTCCAAAGAATGAGAAACTGTCATGACTCTCCAGCACTCCATATATAAGGAGACTTGACACTGGGAACACCACTAGTACACAAATAACCCGCGGGCTATTTGGGTATTAAATACGCTGAGGCAACTAGATAAAGGGAGCAGCAAAACGGTTGTTAAAACCATGAACTGGTTACGTTTTAACGCCAACACGGGCTACGTCTAAACGCGAACACGGGCTACGTCTCAACCCCAACACGGGCTACGTCTCAACGCCAACTCGGGCTACGTCTCAACGCCAACTCGGGCTACGTCTCAACACTAACACGAGCTACGTCTCAACGCCAACACGGGCTACGTCTCAACGCCAACACGGGCTACGTCTCAACCCCAACACGGGGCTATGTCTCAACGCCAACTCGGGCTACGTCAAAACGCCAACACGGGGCTATGTCTCAACGCCAACTCGGGGCTACATCTCAACGCCAACACGGGCTACGTCTCAACGCCAACACGGGCTACGTCTCAACGCCAACACGGGCTACGTCTCAACGCCAACACGGGCTACGTCTCAACGCCAACACGGGCTACGTCTCAACGCCAACACGGGCTACGTCTCAACGCCAACACGGGCTACGTCTCTACGCCAACACAGGCTACGTCTCAACGCCAACACGGGCTACGTCTCAACGCCAACACGGGCTACGTCTCAACGCCAACACGGGCTACGTCTCAACGCCAACACGGGCTACGTCTCAACGCCAACACGGGCTGCGTCTCAACGCCAACACGGGCTGCGTCTCAACGCCAACACGGGCTACGTCTCAACGCCAACACGGGCTACGTTTCAACGCCAACACGGACTACGTCTCAACGCGAACACGGGCTACGTTTCAACGCCAACACGGACTACGTCTCAACGCCAACACGGACTACGTCTCAACGCCAACACGGGCTACGTCTCAACGCCAACACGGGCTACGTCTCAACGCCAACACGGGGCTATGTCTCAACGCCAACACAGGCTACGACTCAACGTCAACACGGGCTACGTCTCAACGCCAACACGGGCTACGTCTCAACGCCAACACGGGCTACGTCTCAACGCCAACACGGGGCTATGTCTCAACGCCAACACAGGCTACGTCTCAACGTCAACACGGACTACGTCTCAACGCCAACACGGGGCTACGTCTCAACGCCAACACGGGCTTCGTCTCAACGCCAACACGGGGCTATGTCTCAACGCCAACACAGGCTACGACTCAACGCCAACACGGGGCTATGTCTCAACGCCAACACAGGCTACGACTCAACGCCAACACGGGCTACGTCTCTACGCCAACACAGGCTACGTCTCAACGCCAACACGGGGCTATGTCTCAACGCCAACACAGGCTACGTCTCAACGCCAACACGGGGCTATGTCTCAACGCCAACACAGGCTACGACTCAACGCCAACACGGGCTACGTCTCTACGCCAACACAGGCTACGTCTCAACGCCAACACGGGCTACGTCTCTACGCCAACACAGGCTACGTCTCAACGCCAACACGGGCTACGTCTCTACGCCAACACAGGCTACGTCTCAACGCCAACACAGGCTACGTCTCAACGCCAACACAGGCTACGTCTCAACGCCAACACGGGCTTCGTCTCAACGCCAACACGGGCTACGTCTCAACGCCAACACTGGGCTATGTCTCAACGCCAACACGGGCTACGTCTCAACGCCAACACGGGCTACGTCTCAACGCCAACACGGGGCTACGTCTCAACGCCAACACGGGCTACGTCTCAACGCCAACACGGGGCTACGTCTCAACGCCAACACGGGGCTATGTCTCAACGCCAACACGGGCTACGTCTCAACGCCAACACGGGGCTATGTCTCAACGCCAACACGGGCTACGTCTCAACGCCAACACGGGCTACGTCTCAACGCCAACACGGGGCTACGTCTCAACGCCAACACGGGCTTCGTCTCAACGCCAACACGGGCTACGTCTCAACGCCAACACGAGGCTATGTCTCAACGCCAACACGAGCTACGTCTCAACGCCAACACGGGCTACGTCTCAACGCCAACACGGGCTACGTCTCAACGCCAACACGGGCTACGTCTCAACGCCAACACGAGCTACGTCTCAACGCCAACACGGGCTACGTCTCAACGCCAACACGGGCAACGTCTCAGCGCCAACACGAGCTACGTCTCAACGCCAACACGGGGTACGTCTCAACGCCAACACGGGGCTATGTCTCAACGCCAACACGGGCTACGTCTCAACGCCAACACGGGCAACGTCTCAACGCCAACACGAGCTACGTCTCAACGCCAACACGGGCTACGTCTCAACGCCAACACGGGCTACGAACACGACTCTCCGGTCTTTCTCCTGGTAGTGAATATAACGTGATTAAAAACCCTTAACAACACTGAGAATGTAGTTAATAAATCAGACAGACAACTGGCATTGTCTGGCAGTTATAAGCATCATTATCAACACTGAATGGAGAGGACTTAGTCAATTATTATTAAGTAAACTAAGATCCCTCGAGGGACTGTTGCCGCCAAACGAAAAACGGCGCGAAAGTCAGTTGTCTTTTGGGTGATGCTGAGATGAGGTGTGGTTGGGGTGCAAGTCTTTAGTGCATTGCTCCGATAGCAGCTATTTTTTTATGGTTTGGTGGGGATGGGGAGGGGGGGGGGATGGTGGAGGAAATAAATATTGGACATTGGGATCTAATGTTAAAATGGTTATTATTGGCAGTAATGGGAAATATGGAATTCGAAAACTATTTCAGTGTACCCGATAATTCCGTTTACAGAAACCCCAATTCTTTAATGAAAACGTTTTTAGCAACACTTTTTATATTCTAAAGCAATGATTTATAATACAATGAAGTTCTAACTTGAGAATAATCTGGTTTTAGCACAAAGATTCACTTCCCAGGTTACACAAAAACTATACTGGAAACATAATATTCTTTCAGACTATCACACATATCTAGATGGTTTGAGGGAGGTGAGGTTTCTCATGGTAATGGATTTGATCTGAGGGGCTCCGACTTTCAACTGACTTTGAGACAACTGACTTTCGCGCCGTTTTTCGTTTGGCGGCAACAGTCCCTCGAGGGATCTTAGTTTACTTAATAATAATTGACTAAGTCCTCTCCATTCAGTGTTGATAATGATGCTTATAACTGCCAGACAATGCCAGTTGTCTGTCTGATTTATTAACTACATTCTCAGTGTTGTTAAGGGTTTTTAATCACGTTATATTCACTACCAGGATAAAGACCGGAGAGTCGTGTTCGTAGCCCGTGTTGGCGTTGAGACGTAGCCCGTGTTGGCGTTGAGACGTAGTCCGTGTTGGCGTTAAGACGTAGCCCGTGTTGGCGTTGAGACGTAGTCCGTGTTGGCGTTGAGACGTAGCCCGTGTTGGCGTTGAGACGTAGCCCGTGTTGGCGTTGAGACGTAGCCCGTGTTGGCGTTGAGACGTAGCCCGTGTTGGCGTTGAGACGTAGCCCGTGTTGGCGTTGAGACGAAGCCCGTGTTGGCGTTGAGACGTAGACCGTGTTGGCGTTGAGACGTAGCACGTGTTGGCGTAGAGACGTAGCCCGTGTTGGCATTGAGACGTAGCCCGTGTTGGCGTTGAGACGTAGCCCGTGTTGGCGTTGAGACGTAGCCCGTGTTGGCGTTGAGACGTAGCTCGTGCTGGCGTTGAGACGTAGCTCGTGTTGGCGTTTAGACGTAGCCCGTGTTGGCGTTGAGACGTAGCCCGAGTTGGCGTTGAGACGTAGCCCTTGTTGGCGTTGAGACGTCGCCCGTGTTGGCGTTGAGACGTAGCCCGTGTTGGCGTTGAGACGTAGCTCGTGTTGGCGTTGAGACGTAGCCCGTGTTGGCGTTGAGACGTAGCCCGTGTTGGCGTTGAGACGTAGCTCGTGCTGGCGTTGAGACGTAGCTCGTGTTG